GTGCCACTTTTTCATAAATTGCTATCTATTTTCATCTATTTCTCTTTCACTATAATACCTCTCAAGTATAAATTAATTGGTATTTGCAGAAGCACAATTCTATAATGGGCAACTGTTTCTCCCTAATTATTAGTTCATGATATATATTAATTTTTTTAGATAAGCAAGACTAATGTAGATTTTTTTTTCTTATGGTTTTTGCTCTATGACTCAAGAAAATTCTAGCAACAAATCTCACAAGGAGCGAAGAAGTAAATCCAGCTTATCAAAGACAAGAAGTTTGAATCTTGTGTCCAACATCAAATAATTATACAACAAATAATTGTGTCCTCTATTTTTTCTCTAATTATTTAAGTTTCTATTTACTTTCAGGGAGGAACCAAAAATTTGGTTTAGTGGGATCATAATATATATGTCTATCTCAAGAATATAATAGTGTTTAACTCAGACCCTATTTCTAATTTAGTTGGTTACAAATAAGACCTCATTGATTTTTATAGTTTACTCCCTTTAAATGAATGTTGGAGATTGATTTTGTTTTCTGATTCAGATTTTTTCTATATTATTTTTTGTAGATATGTTTATATGAACTTTTACTCAACTATTACAAGTTTCTTATATCTTCTTAAATGGGATGTTTAGTTACAAAATTCTTTTCATATATCTTCTTTATTCTAGAATTTCAACATTTTTTCCTTTATATTTCTGAAGTCTTTCATAAATCTCTATAAAGATTTATTTATACAATGGTTACAACATTCAAATCACAACTAAATATGATTGTAATAGAAAACTAGGTCACAATCATCAAATAACCGAAGATCAATTAGGTAATGATTAAAGAAAAAGTCAAGTCAAATTACAAAATAATCGAAAAAAAAATTAGTCACAACAAAAAAATGACGTCACCATACAAAATCAAATTTCAATCATGTAATAATCAAATAACAATTCAAAAATAAAATAAAATTGATTAACATAATGAAAATTAGAACCAACCAAAAAAAATTGAATACAACTTATCTATTAACTCAACTTTCCGTAAACATTGTATTAAACGGAAAAATAAAAATAAATAATGAATTGATCTACCTTCTTAGAAATATATTTTCCACCATTTAGGTTTTTTTCTTGAACAAGCTTCTTTATGAGATTTAGTTCTTTTTCTTTTATAAACCTCATGTTCATTCTTCGAATGAGATCCCCGGTCTACACTCTTTGTTACCATCATTTGTTGGGTTTGTATGGATTTGGGGTGTATAGAAGCTTGACCTATAAAATAATTTATCAAATTATGAAATGAGGAAAATAGATTCAACACTTCCACCCTCGATGAAGGCTTCGAATCTCTACTCTCTCTCAACGAACGTGATAGAATCGCTTGGACTAGAGTATCAAACTTCTTTCTCAAGGGATATGGTAGAAGAAGAAGGAAAATTGAAAATTTTTGAGCAATTTCTCTCTCCCACTATTGATGATAATGTTTGTAAGTAATGCATAATTAGTTATTTATTAATAATTTTATATTTAATATTTTAATTTAAAAAATTTAAAATAACTTGATTTTTGAAATAATAAACTTAAAACTGGATTATTGAAATATAAAGTGAAAAATCAAGATATGTGTAAGTGGAAATTACATCCAACCATGTTTTTTAAGTTTCAATTTCAAAAATCAGGTGATAATTCCACATTTTAATATTAATAATATTATTATAAAATTAAATTAATTTATATACACACCCTACCTCCATCAACCATACCAAATTTCACACACACACACACACACACACACACACACACACACACANCACTTCTGCAGTAGCGGTGCTTAAGACGCTACTGCATAGACATCGCCTCTCAGAGCGGCGTCGCTCGACACTGTTGCAAAGTGACGATGGCGTCGTCTGCGCACATCGTCGCCGCAACAACGATGCTACCATTGGTGGTGTTTGTGATGACATCCCAAGTCCACTAGGCTTGCTATAGCTGGTATTTTTGTGGTGTGTTTTGCCGTTGGTGGTATTTGCAGGTGGTGTTTTGCAGTTCGTGGTGTTTTATGGTGGTTGTGTAGTGATTTTGGGGTGGTGTTTGTAGTTAGTGGTGGTGGTGGTGCAGGTGTGGAGGTAATAATGGTGTTGGTGGTGCTGGTGGTGGCAGTAGTATGGTGTGGGATGATGGTTGTGATCAATTATTTGGTTGATTGTGATCAATAAATTAGTTAATTTGTAATCAATAAATAATACGTGACCTAAAAAATGTTTAGTTTCGATTAAAATTATAATCGTGACTCACAATTTGTTAAATTATGACAAACTAATTTAATAATTGGTGACCAGGAAATAACTGTAATCAATTAATTTGATAATTTGTGACCGTGAAATAAATCATGACTTAAAATTTGTTATTTGTGATCGAAAAATAGTAGGTGACCTATTAAATGATAAAATTGTGATCAATAAATACACTGTGACATATAAAATTTGTGATTCATGACCAAATAATAACACATGATCCATTAATTTGATAATTTTTGATTGAGAAATAAGTTGTAACCTATGAAATTTATGATTTGTGACTGTGACGTATGTAATAGTGACTAGTAAATAACTGTAACCATAAATTATGTAATATTGTGATCTCACTATAATGAATTAATAAAATGTTTTTTAATTAATTAATTAATTAATTATATTATATTAAATTAAGACTTGATTTTTGAATTATTAAACCTAATTTTTTAATTTTGAAATTATATTTTACAATTATCTTATATAACCCATGTTTGTCATCCATTTTATCAAACATTGTTGGCTACAGTAAACAATCTCTATCACATATTCACTCAATCAAATATTGTACATACAAACCAATAAAATTACTGTACTTTTCAACCACACATTCGCCAAAAATACTATTCAAAACTCTATTTATTCTCGCAAAATGAGAGACAAACAAGCACATAGGGTTCCCTATGTGTAATTTCCTCTAAATTTTGATTTTTAAACGATAAGTTGAGAAAAATATTTGTAAATCCCAATTAAAAGGCAGGCCTATCAACATGCCTGTTTATGCAATATTGGGAAAATTACCATAAACCAGGTCTTTAGTTTCACGTTTTAAAAAATCAGATTTTCACTTTATTTTTCAACTTTTCAGGTTTTTATCATTTTAATTTATCCAAACCCTAAATCTATCCATTTCTCTCCACTCTCTCACCTCTCTCCACAACGCCGCCTCCTTCATTTCTCTCCATCCTCCCACACCGCCGCCTCCTTATGCAGAAGCTTACCTGCTCAAATCTTCCTAGTAAACCATTGAATTACAGCACTCACATAGCTTGGGGAAATGCAATTTTAACCAGTAGTCGCATCAAAGAGATCTGCTCGTATTTCACATTTCACAAAACTATTTTTGCAGAATGTTTTCTGGTATTATATTAACTGAAAATACTTGTCGAGTCTGTGAGCGTAGCCTCCACGATTCCATCAATATCTGCTCCCTTGGCTGCAAGGTATCATTTATCTATTCACCTCTTTTCTTTTTCGTGAAAAACGATTCATTTTCCGGCCCTTATGAATCTATGGTGTGATAGATGAAATGATCAGATTGCGGTCGTGGGATGAATCCATAGCCGGCGGCGGTACAAAAGGCATAATAGACTGATGAAAAACAGAATCCAACCGGAGGAATTATTATAGAATACTGTGACTCACTGAAATAGAGTTGCGACAAGTAAACGTTTTGATTTTTTTTCAATCTGTGACCTGTGTGGGTGTCCGTAACCTGGAAATTGAGACTGTGACTCGCTGAAATAGCCGTGACCCGTAAAAGTTTTGAATTTTTTTAATCTGTGACCTATAAAAAATTACATGTGACCTTAAAATTCTTGATTTGTGACCAACGAAGTTAACTGTGACCTATAAATTTTTTCATATGTGACCTCGAAATAATCCGAGACCAATTAATTTGATAAACTGTGACCTGAAATTAATTTTTAACTAATTAATAAGATATACGCTATCAAATTACACAATTAAATATTTAATTAATTAATAAAAAGTAGAAACCTGATTTTTACAATTTTAATGTTTAGCACCTGATTTTTTAAAATGTCAAACTAAATACCTGAGCCATAAACTTTTCCATGCACCGTTCCCTATGTGTAATTTCCTCTCAAATTTGATTTTTAAATGATAAGCTTACAGAGATATTTGTAAAGCCCAATTAAATGGCAGGCCTATCAACAGGTCTGTTTAGCAAAGGGAAGAACAGCCCAGGTTTTCTTTCTCGGTATTACACCAGGAAAATATTCATCACCCGGCAGGCCGGCACCAATTTATCTTATGTTGCAGTGATTTCTTCTGAACTTCTTCATCACCAAACGTGGAAGGTAGTATCGGATTGTATTAGTGTTAAAACGGGCTTTAAATGTTGAAATCGGCTGGATTTGTTTGTTGTGAATGATTTAATTTGAATTCAATTCCTTGTAATATTTTATTTTTCCAGAATTGTTGTTTCTTGATGGTAATATTTCTCTAGAAACAGTGATTTTCAACAATATTTCTCTTGATTTTTTGATGCGGTTGTTTATGGTATTCCCTTGGTGAAATACCCAGGACCAAAACCCAGTGGGGGCAGTTGCCCCCACTAGACTCCAGGTGGCGCCGCCCCTGTTTACTTTAAAGAATGAAATTTTAATTGGGTGACCTTTTTCTTAAGTGAATATTTTTGTTTGTTAATTTAGAAATCGTGGAAAGCACTAACATTATCCCTGGATAAATTGGGTGACCTTTTTCTTAAGTGAATATTTTTGTTTGTTAATTTAGAAATCGTTGAAAGCACTAACATTATCCCTGGATTTGAACTCAGAAAAAGTGTGGAAATTAGAAGAGGATGAGCAGCATGAGAGAAAGGGTGAGGCTAGTTTAGCACAATCTAATAAGGATATCGAAGACAGCATTGAGGAGCCTCAAATACAGGAGAAATTTGAGGGTAAAATGAGGAATTTGAAAAGGAATGCTTTGATTAAAGGTTCAAAAAGCAAGTTTAATGAGTATCTTGAACTGGAGATGAAGGGAGGGACATTGTTGGCGAAGGAGGATTTGAAGTTGGAAAAGAAACTTGCGAAGAAACTCAAGTTCAAGAATGGAAAATTGCAAGGAGTTGATGATGATATTGACATGTTACTTGAAGGAATACCTTCTATTCTAAGCAATCTAGAGGAAAATGAAAAAGAGATTGAAAAGAACTTTCAGAATGGCACATTGCACAGAAAACGAAAGACAAGTAAATTGCCAGATATAGTTTCCAAGGCTGAAAAACTGGTTGATAATGTGGATGAAGAATCTGACACACTTGATGCTATTAGTGACGAGCATGATGATGTTGAGGAAGTGGTCTTGCATAAGGATTCAAGGAAGCGTAATCTGAAAAAGACAAAGTTCAAAGAGTATCCTGAGACTGAAATGCAGGGTGGTATGCTTTCAGGTGAAGCAGATTTGGCATTGGAAGAAAAGCTAGCGAAGAAGCTCAAGGTGAAGGAAGGGAGATTAAGTGGAGAAAATGACGAAATTAACATGTTATTCAGGGAAATTCCTTCAGTGCTTGATTCCTCAGGGGATGAACTAATAACTTCTGATGAAGATCCCAAGAGGAGCCTTGATAACAGCTATTCAAGTGAGAGACTTAAAAAGCGAAAGTCCATTGATCAAGAGAAAAGAGCTGAGGGAGCAGTTGACCCATTATTTGGAGTATCCAAACCAGTAGAACCCTCTGGTGCAGGAGCGACATCAGAACAGGTTTGTCATGTGGTGCCAGGGAAATATGTGGCTCCTCATCTTAGATCTCGGGCTAAAAAAGAATCAGAAGAATATGCTCAAATCCGTAGACAAATACGAGGTATGAAATTAGCTACATCATGTTATAGTTTAGCATGATATCCTGTTGTGGTTATTGATTTCAATACCTAATCTCCATAAATTTTTCAAATTCTTCAGGACTTTTAAACAGGTTATCTGAAGCCAATTTGGAATCAATCACGGGTGAAATTTCTACAATACTCAAGGTAATTTACTAATTATCATAGCCATTTCTTCATTGTGTTAATCACATGTACTCTAAGCACTAAACCTTGGGGTGATTTGACGCTTTTTAAAACAGAAAAATGATTGAGGACAGGTCATTTGAATTTTACTTGATATATAGATTATGATTGTAGGTTTTGTATATGCCTTCTTAAAGTCTGTTCAGAACTGATGAGTATATATTATTATTGTAGTCGAATTTGGCTGAATACCAGACATAAGTATCAATTTAGTAGAATAATATATTCAGACTGTGCAATTGTGTACTTGAAGAATTGAAGGAACAAGGAAGCAGTTATTTTTTTAATGGAAGTCCTACTGACAACAAACAATAAATTTTTAGATTTGATTTTACAAATTTTAGAACAAATTAATCATGTTTGTTTTTTTTATGGATATAGTTTTATTGTTAGATCTTTATGCTTGTACTGCTTGATATCTGCAGTCTCAGTTATGTTATGCTCTACTATGCAGTCTGTTGGTCGTAGCGTTGGTTCCCAAATTGTTCAGGAAGAGGTTGTGGCATCATGTTCTGGGGGACCTCGTGGCAACGAACAGTTAAGAATCTGTTCATTTTTTCCTTTTAGTTTTAATGCTCTTCAGTCTTCACTACCTCTATTATTGTCCAATTTGCTCCAGTTGAATGGAATTAGTAGTCATATTTGAGTCTGAATCACCTTATTAAGAATTCCTGTACTTTTGACTAATTAGTTAAAAACTAATAAGAAAGTTCCAGCATATGCTATAGGAGGATGGGGCTAGAATGAGAATAGGCTAATATATATATATCTTCTTTTGTATGGCTTCTATGAATTCTTCACTTGATGATTCCAGAATCAGGGTAGTTTTTTTCACAAGCACTAGTTGGAAAACATCTGCCAAAAATGAATTTAGGCTTCATAATATTGTCACGTGAAAATTGAGAGTTTATATATCTCAGTTCACTTTGATATTCATTACGATATTTCCCATCTATCAGTTTTGTGGATGTGCTGGTTTGGGAAAATGGGAGCATCAACACCATATCTATGAAATAAGCTTAAGCGTTTTATGCTCAATTCGGTTTGAGAACCTCTGTGGTTATGCAGATTTTCTTTTAATCTTTGTTGTGAATTAGATTTTTTCATTATGTGCTTCATGTTGCTCTAGGATCTTGTATTTATTTTGGAAATCTGAAGGTAACGAAAACCTGTTCATTTTTGTGCTGCAATCACCCTTTTGTTTCGGACATGTAATTAATACTTGTAGGACTTCAACATGTAGACTGCTAGAGTTGGTTAGATGGAGCACAATTTTATACCCAGACAATCCTGATTCATTTTGATTAAGAACATGGCGTATCCAAGTTTGGGACTTATACTGCTTCATGTATGAATAAGTGTGACTAAGATTTGTTTAGAATTTATATGGTAATTTTCAAGAGAACATTTCTTTTGCTCTCAAAAACAGCAGGAACAGTGGGAAGTTGCTCATCATGGAATTTTTGGAGAAAAAAGGATTGGGAAAACAATTTTCAAAAAGCTGTTGTTTCTGAAAAACAAACCAAAGACTCCACGAAAACAGAAACAGTTTCGAAAATTTTGTCAATCGCCTTTTCTGATCAGTGCCCATTTTTTAACTCTTACACAAAAAGATAATTAAAGCTACTGTCCAGCTTGGTACTTGTTTCAACTTTATAGCATACTCATAAATGACCTTTTATATTTTCCCATGTGAAAAAATTGTCAAATAGCTTATCAAATGTCAGGCAACTCATTCACTAACACCAAAAGAATTTTCTATGAACTTTCCTAAACATGTTTCAACATTGCCAAATTGGTGTTGATATTTATTTTTCTAGATTTTTCAGATCGTTCACAGATATCACATGAAAGTGTGAATTAATATTATCATTTCTTGTACACCAATGCCAATCTTTTGTGCGCCTGTTACCATATTATTGATACAGCCGCTGAAGCTTCTCTGGGTGTTAGTGTCTTTGCTATATTTTTTGTTTTTATATATATTTTTTGCTATAATATTGTGTATGCAACATTTACATATGTTGTGATA